CTGAAATTACGGTGTGAATGACTGCATTTTGATTTTTAGTCTAGTCTGTTGGGGCCTAGTGCAGGAGCTTAGTCCGAAACAATGGCCTCCTATAATTTTTATTTAACAAGTAATTTAAAATAAACCCAATTTAAACCTAATTCTACTACATGGGGCAACTATTTACAGAGTCTTGACAAGATGGTCTAGGCCAAAATACCTAACAGTGTTTATATGCATGGGAAGGAAAGAATTTATGAACAAGATTTTATGTTTCAGCCCTCCCCGCTAACTGAAGGCAGGAGGGTACTCTGTCCAGGGAATCCGTAGTCAGTCTTTCCTGGGGCAGAACAGTGGTTTTGGTGTCTTGGCAGGCAGCATTCTGCTTATGAGGGGTTTCTCATAAACTACCTTCCTCTGGGGGCTTTCTGAAGCTTCTTCTGAGTACTTGATGGTAAGCTGTCTCTCTCTTAAGGCTGCTGTTGTTGCTGCTACATTGGCATCTCTTGGCATGGTGGCATGTTGACAGTAATGCTTCATTGCTAAAGGTTACCTACTTCATTTCTTCCATTTCACACTGAAAGTGTGAAAGAAGGAGCTATGATTACATAAATCTTTCATGCTATTCTATTGGCATGATTACACTACTTGTTGTATATGATACTACTATATGATCAGCATATACTTGTTACAAATGCAGAAGACAGAAATATGGCTATCTGCAATGTACCATAAACTAGGATGGTGGTTCTCAAAGAAAAGTCCAGTAACTCCCTGTATCAAAATCATCTGGGATGATAGTTAGAAATGTATATTTCTGGGCCTTGCCTCAGACCTAGGAAATCAAAATCTCTGGAAGATGGACCTAAGATTCTGCATTTTAACATGCATGCCATAGTTTGAAAATCTGTGAGATAACATGGGAGGAAAATTCCCAGAGTTGAAGAACTTGTCCTAGAGTTACAAGGGTATAAAACGGAGAAGGTGATATTTTAATCCATGACTGCCCGACTTCAAAGACTATGTTGATTCCACTATGCTACATTTCTTCTTTTCTTTCTTTCTTTTTTTCTTTTTTTTTGAGATGGCGTTTCATTCTTGTTACCCAGGCTGGAGTGCAGTGGCACAATCTCGGCTCACTGCAGCCTCTGCCTCCCAGGTTCAAGTGATTCTCCTGCCTCAGTCTCTTGAGTAGCTGAGACTACAGGCACGAACCACCACGCCCAGCTAATTTTTGTATTTTTAGTAGAGACGGGATTTCACCATATTGGCCAGGTTGGTCTCAATCTCTTGACCTCATGATCCGCCCGCCTTGGCCTCCCAAAGTGCTGGGATTACAGCCATGAGCCACCGCACCTGGCCTCCAGTATGATACATTTCTAATTGCCAATGACAGTCAAATAATTTTCACTAAACCACTCCTACAATTGTATATACGATTTAGCTTATTAATGGACTCATACATTTCCAATACCTTAGGATGCTTCATAATTTCTTTTTCCCCTTCCTTTCTGGTAGAGAGATTTATCAGAGTGGGGTATAGGCCATTCTTTCTCTTTCATCTCTAGTAGTTCCTTTCTTTACTCCCCAACTCTTCCTTCCACCCTCTAATCTTTCTCCTTGTCCTTCTTAAGTGAATGAATTTCCAATATTACATTCTAGCAAGTTTAAAATAAAAACTGAAAATGCAATGCAGAGCCTTGGTACCATTTTGCAGAATATTTTTAGATTATTTGCATTTATTTACCACAGCTATTTTGTATCTGTGATATTGGAAATGGTAATCATGTTCTGATCATAACTCTGCCCCTGATTTAATGACAACACATGGAAAAGCTATGATTCCCCCTTTCCAGAAATTTAGAAATAGAAGGGAATGAAAAGACTGGAAACAAAGAAAAACATCCACATTCAAACACTGGAGATTTATTGTGAAGATAAGAGTCATGCCATCTTTACCAATGCTGAAACATGTCAAGGTGAATGTTATTAAAGTTCTGGTCATTTGTGGTGTTTAAGTTGTGTGAGATCTATTTGTAACCCAGTTAGCAAAGAGGGAGATATCTGGCTTAGATTTCAGGAGCCTCTAATCAGGTCTAGAGGCAGGGCAGCTTTCTGCTTAAAACAGGCTTTAATCTGAAGTCCTGAATGAATGACTAGAAATCGGCTTCTCCTGATTGAATTTTTCTTGCTCCAGAAATACAGTATGTATCTAGAATCCTGAAATGCAAGCCCTTGGGAGACAACAGAAGAGGACCTGAGGGAAAGAGAGCTGCAACAAGAACTCCCAACTTCCCAGTCTGTCTCCAGAGGAATTCTAAGAGCTAAGGTTCCCAGGCTTGCCATGCAAATAAGCATATGCTAGGGGTTTAAACCATGGTCAAGGGAAAAAGGCTTTCACCTGGTCTTTTCACATTTCGATTTTCAAGATTGCAGATTACATTTTCTGTTTTTTTTTTTTTAAGAAATTTTCCTCTAGAATTATTTCTTATTAGGTCTTTCATTATTTTATTAAATTGCAGGTGATTGAGGTTTGGTGTACAAATGATCCCTTCACCCAGGTAGTGGGCATAGTTTCCAACAGGTAGTTTTGCAACCCCCTTTCCCCACCCTCTCCCCTTTAGTAGTCCCCAGTGTCTATTGTCCCCTTCTTTATGTCCAAGTGTACTCAATGTTTAGCTCCCACTTGTACGTAAGATCGTGTGGTATTTGTGTTATATTCTTTTTGTTGTGGAAAGGAAACACTGGTGTAAAGAATTATTCTGAAATAAGGGATGTTGAGTTTCATTTCCTCCTAGTTAGATTCACACAGGTTCTTCTTCCCTCAGCTCTGTATCTTCCACCTGGTGGGAGAGGACGCCTTCAGTTCCCTCTGTCTCTGCCAATTATGGGTGGTTATACTTGGTTCTAGAGCTAATCCTGATTAAGCAAGGAAGTCTGTAGGCAGCAGGATGTCCCCGATAGTGAGACCTGTAATTAGTATTTGGTGCTTCTAGAATAAGCCTTGGACATTTTCATGTCGACTAGACACACATTTCTCCTAATCAGTGTTTGCTCAGTGCAAACAACTGGATGGCCACATCACTTCCCTCGACAGCCCAGGAGCTCCTTTTCATTTTCTGAAGCTAAGTAGATTAGGTTGCATCCATGACACGCACTTGGGTTTTCCAGCCTCCATGACATTTTCCATGTATCTGGGCTTCTGCTCCAAACTAGACCAACTGCTCTCCTACTTAACTCCAACGACAGCCACTTTGTTACTACTCCTGCTACAGTGATCCATCTGCTGAATCTATTTCTTGGGGTCCACAGCCCTTTGACAACAGGTTTGCCTCTAAACAGCCAGACTCACACAGCTCAGTGAGTTTTAATAATTCAGTTTCTGCTTCCAGCCCAAATTATTAGTCCCATCATGTCTTGAAGGTGTACTACCTTAGTTAATGATGCTGACTTCCTCTGCCCCTTCACACCCCAAAGTTATTTCCCCTAGAAAAGGTAGTTAACATCATATCTGATCATCAGAGATCAACCCAAAATTCTTGCAATATGCACTGTTTCAAAGTAATTTACATAAAAGAAGAAAATAATGTCTCATTACTATACTAATTCAGGTCTTATATGAAGAAATTAGGTTGCCATCCAACTTTTGATGTATCCTTTCAGCCCAGACCTCTCTTGTAAGTTTCATATCTATGTATCTAAGTTAGATGTATCTACCTGGATGTATTTCAGGTATCAAACTCAGCATATCACACACTGAAACTCATACTTTTTACTTGTGTCTTTCCCTACTTCTCTCTCCAATGACAGTAGCTTTTTAGATTTCAATAATCCATAGTCTCTTGCCTAGCCTGACCTTGACCTGTGAAAAAAACAGCTAGCTCCTGCATGAAAAATAAAATACAGAGCATAAAACCTTTTACAGATTGAAAATAATGGGCCCATATTGGATAAATTATTTTTTTGCTAACTACAATAGCAGTGTTTTAAACACTCAGCTAAAAAGTATGCCATGTGGGAAATAATAAATGAAACAATATTTATTTTAACAAATATTTACTATATGCTAGGCACTGTTCTAAGAGTTTTGTAAATATTAATTCACTTAACACACATATTTTTATAAGGTAGTTACTGTAACTGTATTTTTTAAAAGAGGATAATGATTCACAGAGAGTTCAGAAACTAGTATAAGGTCACAGGACCAGGATTTGAGCCAGGTAGTTTGCTTCCAGAACCCAGGCGCTCAGCTACTGCACTGTGCTACTTCTCCATGTGTGGTGTAGAAACATGGGGAAAATATTTGTCATGGCAAAATTTTATTTGTTACCTTTGGCATTATTTACAATTATAAAATATTATTCACATATTATAATACCAGTCATGTGGAGTAATTGGGTAGATAAGTTATTATCATTGCAGAAACTACATACTGCAGAACTAATGTCTTTATAGAAGAGGGACTTTGCTTTTTCTATTCATATGTAAGAGACATACAAGTGCTACTAGCGTACACTATTAACCTTATTCAAAAGGCTAACTACAGGATATCTTCTATGAGGAATTTTATCTACTGTATTTCTCTGGCATATGTGGACGCAATACCTCATTGCTTTTCACTTGTGATGATGTCATTTTTTTATTGCTCTACATCATCTATCCATTGAACATGTTGCTTGATATGTGTCCTCTGCAAGTACATAGCAAGATTCTCAAAGCCAAGAAAAGTATCTTGTAATTTTTTTTTTTTTTTTTTTTGGAGATGTAGTCTCGCTTTTTCACCAGGCTGGAGTGCAGTGGTGCAATCTTGGCTCACTGCAACCTCTGACTCCCTGGTTCAAGCAATTCTTCTGCCTCAGTCTCCCAAGTACCTGGGATTACAGGCATGCACTACCTCACCCAGGTAATTTTTGTATTTTTAGTAGAGATGGGGCTTCACCATCTTGGCCAGGCTGCCTCAATCTCCTGATCTCGTGTTCCACCCACCTCGGCCCCCACAAAGTGCTGGGATTACAGGCATGAGCCACTGCACCTGGCCCGAGAAGTATCTTGTATTTACATATTGCAATGACTCTTCACACTAAACCATCATACCCTCCAGTTCTGAATTTCTCTTGAGCTTCACAATGTTATTCTGAGCATGGAAGCAATATAATTTAACTATAATTTATAAAGCTGAATAAAGTTGTACATATATAATGCCCAGCAGCAGGTACTTCAAACTCTACATATCCCAAAACTCAAAGTTTTTTTTTCCATCAAATCTGCGCCTCCTCAATATTTTCACCTTCAGTAGCAGAAATTTTTCACCCATGACTTTTCTTTCCCATTCACCAAATTTTAAAATTCCTCCATCACAAATGCCTCTTCTGCCACCTCTTTTTAATTTCCACTAGTCCTGACCATGTGCAGGTCATAATTATCTGCCTCTCAGACCACTGCAGTTGTCTTCTAATAGATTGCTCTGAATCCAATTTCTGATTAGTAGAATCCATCCTTTGTATTCCTCCCCATGCTACATTTCCAAATATTGATATGATGTACTTATTCAATCAAAACAAATTATACAGAATGTAGTCCAAATTCTTTACCATGGCATTCAAGGCTCTCCATATACTGGCCTTGGATTCCTAGCTGGCTAGCTCATTGCAGTTAGGAGTATGTTTCTTAAAATATCTGGATAGAGCAGTAAGTTCTCTGTCTCTGGAGGTGTGTGTATATTTATGTATACACATTTGTTTTACTGATGGGATCATTAACATTACTGTCATGCATCATGATGGCTTAGCTGGAAATGTTGTCAAATAAAAAACAGGGCCAGACAGTAGCTGAAGTGGCAAAAACACTGTATTCAGGAACTACTGCAATAAGAGAAAAGAGATCTCAATACAGAGCTGGGCTCAATTCCAAATACAGCATGGACAAGTGGGGATTTAAAGCCAAAGGGGCGTTGGGTCAAATGGATGGAAACTTACTAATAGGAAACATCAGGGGTGGGAGGGTTCTGATTAAACAGACCTAATAGGATATTTGCTGAAGGCAGGCCAGTGTGGTCTGATACTAACGGTAGAAAATGAAGAATTTGATCAGGTATCGACGGTAATAAGGTATGAAGGGTTGGGGTTTCTCTCTCAATGGCTATAGCAAGACTCTTGCTACAACTCGGTGATTCAGGCTCGACAGGATTGGAAGCCAAGATCAAAGCCTGATCGGAAAGACTTAGATGAGCCTGACCAAAGTTCAGCCAAGGAGAGTTTTTGCCAGTGTATTCACACTCCGTGTGTGTGTGGTATGTGTGTCTCTGTACTATTCTAATTTACCAGGCAGGGGCTCCCTGGCCATGAGAGCAGTGTCACCATCTTTTGGGTAGAACAGCAGACACAGAGAAGGCCCACTGTAGACAGTTAACTACCTGGCTCTTTTTTTAGCATGGGAAAGGAAGACGAGTCCTGATTTTCTTTCAATATTCCTCAGGTATATTGATCTGACCCCCAAATTACATAAGATCTGCAGTGATAAAACCATTACCCAAAAAACTCACTGTCTTTTATCACTTATATCCTCAGCATTATCATCAGCAATTGTCTTAATATAAGTCTGGAGGCAAAAAAAGGCTTACACTAAGTATGCATACAAAAGGGCCAAATACATTGAGCAGCAAAACTCCCAAAGCAGATACCGCCGGGGACCTGCAGGAGCGCTTCCGCAAATCTCGCGAGATAGCAGGCAGCGATGCCTTTTGCTCCGGTTTCTCGTGAGAGCCCGGGGCTTCAGCTTCCCGTTTGTTGAGCCCGCGGTGGCGTTTCCTGGGGCAACAGCAATGGCGGGCTCGCTGTCCGAGCGGTTCTTCTCGCTGGAGCTGCTGGTGGACTGGGTGCGTTTGGAAGCTCGGCTGATGCCGCCCCCAGCTGCCGCAGTGGAGCAGGAGGAAGAGGAGGAGGAAAAGGAGCAGGGGGAGGTCTCGTCGCCGCGCGGTGTGTGCCCAGCCGTGGCCTTCCGCCTGCTGGACTTCCCCACGCTGTTGGTTTACCCTCCTGACGGCCCTGGCGCTCCCGCCCCCGAACCATGGCCCGGCGTGATCCGCTTCGGTCGCGGCAAGTCCTGCCTCTTCCGCCTGCAGCCTGCTACCCTGCACCGCCGGCTTCTGCGGACCCCGCTTGCCACCTTGCTGCTGCAGCTGCCCCCCGGGCGCCCGACGCCCACCCCACAGCTCCTGGGGGCCTGCGACATTTCGCTGGCCACCGCGGCCCGCAGGGTTGTGGGGCCGGCCGCCACCGGATGCTCCCACCGTCACCGGGGACGTTTCCCCCTGCATAATCAAGTGGGCGAGCGGACTGGGGATATTGCACTGGCCTACCGCCTGACTGACCTGGGAAGCCGCCTGCTGGGCCAACTTGAGCGGCCCCTCACCGTCACCCCCACAGGAGGCGGAGCGGAGGTCAGTCCCCAAACCCAGCAGGAAAGACAGCAGCTACAGCAGCCAGTCTCACAGCCAAGCCCCAGAGAGGCTGATAGGCCGCTGGGAGAGTTAGAAATCCCAGAGGCACAGAAGGATTTGAAGGAAATGGTTTTCCAAAGTAAGGCTGAATCTGATAATGTGGGTTCTGTGGAGAATAGCAAAACCAGTTCTGTTGTTACATGTTCAAGTGCTGTCAGTGGGAGAAATGTTAGCTCCCTACATGAGGAAGTCACAGAATTGGACATGGAGACCAATATATTTTGCCCTCCTCCTTTGTATTACACTAACTTGACCCAAGAAAAACCGCCCCCTGCACAGGCTAAAATCACCATTGAGCCTCAAATGAATGTACCTGAGGAATTGGATGGTGCTTCTCCTGAAAAAAAGCGTGTAAATCCCCCAACAGACAGGAGTTATCTAAAACATCCAAGTTCTGCAACACAAGAGCATCCTCCAGTGCTTGTAAATCCTCCACATATTCAGGATATAGGAGCAACTAATCAAACATGTCAAACTGAACAAAATAGAATTAATACAATAAGGCAGTTGCCTTTGTTAAATGCTTTGTTAGTTGAGTTGTCGTTGTTGTATGACCAACCTGTGACAAGTCCTGCTCATATACATCCTCACCTAGCCTGGTTATACAGGACTGAGGATAAGAAGTCACCCAAATCTTCTGCCAAATCCACATGCCAGTCTGAATCCAAGAAGGATAAGCGTTCTATGGGGGTATGTGAAAAGTCAGTGAGTCTTCAGTATAAAAAGAGCCAAATTGAAAACTGTAAGAAAGATAAATATTCTGAAAAGAGCAGTGGTACCTTCCAAAAAAGAGTTCCAAAAGGGAGGCTACTTTATGGCTTAACAAATACATTAAGACTACGTTTAAAGCTGACAAATCCTGAAATGTTGGTGGTACATGAAAAAAGAGAACTATATAGAAAATCACAGTCACAAATGTTGGGTACAAAATTCAGAATTCCATCATCCAAAGTTAAACTATTAAGCTCTGCAGAACAAAGTCAGGAGCCACAACTGCCTAAAGATGAGTATTTAGATTCAGATGCATCTTTTACTGAAAATAGTGATACCTCAAGACAAATCAGTGGAGTTTTTGATGATCCCAAAACAAGTAAAGAAACTAAACTGAAATATGCAACTGAAAAAAAGACAGTTGATTGTAGTAAAAATAGAATCAATAATGTTTCATTCGAAGAAGTTGTGAGTCCTGCAAATTCCATTATTCCAGAAAGGCTTACCCCTACAAATATTTTGGGAGGAAATGTGGAAATGAAAATCCAAAGTCCGTGTGTTTTCCAACAGGATGCTGTTGTTGACAGAATTGTAGATAAAGAAATAGGTATTAGACAAGTCAAAACCACAGATAATGACATTCTTATGGCTGATGTAAGTGACAATAGACCAGATAAGAATAGTTGCTATGAAAACATCTCAGAACTGAAGTATTCAGATGACTTGTCTAGCCCTTGCTATTCTGAAGATTTCTGTACCACTGAGGACACCAGCAGAAGTAAAGCTCATGATAGCAGTTCAAGGACAGAAAATCCAAAACATAGTCAATATACAAGGAAGTCTAGTGAAACAAGAGCGTCCAAAAAGAAAGATAGTAGTGACAAGAGTTCTATCCTTAGCCCACCTTTTTCAGCTGGGTCACCTGTCCACTCATACAGAAAATGTCATATTTCAAAGACTCGGGATAAAAGTTTGGAGGAAGCATCTAGCATCTCGGCTAGTGATTTATCTTCATCACATTGGACTGGCGAAAAAGAAAACTGGATAGATCAAAACAGTATGCACAATTCTAAAATTACAAAGAGAGGTCAAGACGTCTCTGTTAAAACCAGTAGTAGTTGGAAATCTTTAGAAAAAAGCCAGTCACCACGAACATCCCAAGTGAGTTCTTACCCGCCTTCAAATGTGTCCGAACTAGAACTTAATGTCCTGGATAGCAGTACATCAGATCACTTTGAAGAAGACAGTGATGATGTTGGTTCACTAAATATTTCCAAGCAATGCAAAGATATTTGTGAATTAGTAATAAATAAACTTCCAGGATACACAGTGTAAAAATACATGCTTTTAAAAAACTTTCAACAACCTACGTGTACTGTTAGTGAAAAAAATTTTAAAGCTGTTTTAGTTCATGAATTATGTGAATAATTTTTTAAAGAAATATGAATGTTACTCCTTTGATGTTTAAATAGTATTCTACCATTAAATCTGATAATATTGACTATTAAATCATATAAACAGATTTCTTTTTAAATTGTTTAATCATAAGAATAAAAGTATATCTTTCTAAATTGTCTCTCTTAAAGTGTCTACAGTATTCATCATTCTAAAGCTGACTTCATGCACACCACTGGAAAAAAAGGCTAGTAAGGACAGCCTCAAATTTTAATTGGAACAAATTATTTAACAAATATAGAAGACTTACTGTGTTAGATGCAGAAAGATGCAGAATCTCTCTATGATAGGGTCCTTGCTGTTTTAGAGCTTACAGTTGTATGTAGATAAGAAGTCTTCTTGACATATACATATCCCATGTCCCCAATAGGTGAAGTTGCTTTTATATGCTGTCATAGTACTCTGCACCTTTTCTTTGAAAACCACAATTTGTGTAATTAAAGTTTGTCTTCCACTAGCCTTCAGTTGTGTGATGGGATCATATTTGCTACACATCAGTATATTTTTGTATCTAGCACAATTCCTGGCATGTGGCTGCAATGCAATAAAAACATTTGTTGAAAAAAATGAAGCCCAGGCATTTAAAATACCTAATGGGAGGGTTTAGAGTTAAGCAGCAAAAATAAGCTGATTCCCTAAAAATAAACCTGCAGAAAATCCTTATTGGAGATATGTTTGACTGTAATATTTTTGTTTTGCTTGATATAAATAGCCTTCAGGTGTTCTCTGAAATATTTGGAAAGGAGAACTTAAAAAGGTGTCTTTCTATGCAGTTTCTGATATAGGAGTTCAGTTTCTTGTCATTTCAGTTTGTTCAATGGTTATTTTTAGTGTATGAAAATTTGTTTTTATGAAATCCAGTGATGATTTATAATTTATTCCATTGGTTTTATATTTAGACTTTATTCTGTGTTCAAATATTTGCATATATTTTCTTCTAGCTGTGTTATACTTTAATTTTTAGACTTTTAAATATATCTAACATTTTTGAATGTATGAAGTGAAGTTCTAATTTCCTTTCTTTACAGGTAATTAATTATATAGGTATTCTGAATGATCATAATACTAGAATATAGATAGATGGTAAAAAGAAGAGGATGTTACATTTTGGGGAACAATATGAATGAAAGAATGATGATGGGAATGAGCCTGATATATTTATGGGACAATTTAAAATATTATCTTGAGTAGAATGATAGATTCATGCTACAGAGTGGTAGAAAGGACATTTGTTGAGCAAGGAAAGTGCCAGATTACAGACAGCCTCAAATGCTAAGCATAATAACAGAGTTCTAAACAATAGGAACAACAGACGATTTTAGGTTATAAATGAGCACTAGTAAGTAGTCATGACGTTTTGAATATTTTAAATTATTGAAAATAATAGGCAGAGAAATTATATCTGTAAAATTTTTGAAATATGAAAGGTTTCTATGGCTAGTGGCTATGATCTTAATTTTTCTAAAATACAAAGCATATAGTATAACATTTCACAAAATCAAAATATTTTAATGCCAGGTATTGTAACTAGATGTTTAATGATGTCAACTGTGTAAATTGTTTAATAGCAATTTGTCATTACTATGGAAGAGACAATAAAAATATAAGCAATATCAGAATCATCAAAGAAATAATTCCTTATAAACCAACGTTTTATTTGGTAGAGAGTAAGTCATTGTCTGTGGTAAGAATAGGTAAAATGATTAATTTAGCATGTCTAAGGTACAACAAGACCAAAGAAGTAATGCATTTTAAATTACGAAACTGAGCAGCTGAATCTGCTTCTCTTTGAGTTAATCCATGAATACTTATTTCTAGAATTGTGAAAATTGTTTCTTCTAGTCTAATTCTAGTGAAAAATATCTGTTTTCATGTATTTAGTGCTTCCTATTACATTCTACAAATTCTAGTCCATGTTTTAATTCTACAATCTTAAGCTTATTTTAAGAGAATTTTGTAATATATACTATTCATGGAGACTTATTTATCTCCTTAATTGCTTAAAATTATTGAAACATGAAATAGTATTTCAAGTCACAAGTAAGGGAGACTGTCATTTCATTGTAAAATCAAGCGATTGCAAACCTTCCAAAAGGTCTTCTGAATAGCATGGGTATCTAAACTGCTATGGACAAAGCTGAGTAGGAGAGGGTCTAAAATGCAAAGCGAGCCACAGAAAAGATGTTAAGACCTACCTCTAGGTAATATTGAATGTTTATAGCTTAGGAACCAACCGCCAATAATAAGCCCTCTGAACTATCCTATAAACATTTGCAGAGGGCTGTGCAGATGCATAGAATATACACTGGGTTTTTTCCCTTCAGTCATATGCATGCTATTGATGACATTTTCAGATGCAGAGAACAATGATATTAAACTTCTGTCATGCAATTATTATGGCTTTGTGCTGAGAGCCACCCCTTTACATGTCAATTAATTTAGATTTTTCTTCATGTACAAGCAGTGAATTTAGTATGGAATTATAGTTAGGAACCAGACTTTTATTGGTAGCAAAATACAGGTCAAGACTGTTAATTTAAAAACCCAGCTTTTAAATTACCACACTGTGTTGTTGGCAAGGCAAATAAATTTCATAGCAAAGCGACATATAAATAATATTTAAATTTGCTGCATCAAACTGTCCTTAGGCCTAGAGAAAGTCATTCTTCAGGCTGTTTATGTTTTAATTCAGATTTAAATATTTAGGGAGTTGTATAGAATGACAATATATAGGCCAAAACTTGCTGAGTCATTCTTTTCTTATTTTTAACTTAAAACAATACAAGGAAAACTTCACTTGGTCAAGGACTAAGGCTTTCTTAAGTGATTTTCTCTGGAGACCTAAGTGTCATGCCAGGAAGTAACAGACTTCAGGAGCATCTTCATTAGCTTGGAGTGCCAAGCCATAGTGTTAGAAGTATTTCCTTATTTTTAAAAACTCTTCTCAGATCTCTGTTATACTGAACTATACTCATTCTAGAAAAAAAATTATAAAACGTAGATAAGAGGTTTTGCTTCAAAATTGCGTACTAAGGAAAAGTTATAGTGTTTTCCTTCCAAAATTCCACCGAAATGACCGATGTAAAAATATGAATGCACCCAAAGTAGCCCTGGAAAACAAAAATGCTGGTGGTGGACAACACACCCAGTTTGAGGAACTTCTGGAAGACACAAAGCAGTTGGGATTATGTTGATGAAAAAATTGGTCACAAATCCACTCTTCAACACAGCCCCATGAGAGTGCTTCTGGAGAAATGAGAAGATGGTATCTTCCAACAGAGCCCCAGATTAAGTTCAAGCTGGTCAGCAGGGCTTGGGCATAGAAACAGGTTAAGGGACAACAGAGGGAAAAGCAGAACCCTGAGGACAGGGAAGAGGCTGGGGTGGGCTCAAGATTATCTACTAGAATAAGTGTTGGGACCAAAGAGAAAAACTATTTTTCAACTTTGACACCAAAACATATATTCAAACTGTCTCAATGTTATTGGAGAGACTACTAACCCTCATGCAAATTAAAGTGGTATAAGCCTGGTCATTGGAGGCAGACAAATGGCGTTTGCATCCTTGATTATTTTACTCCTTGGAGACTTTCTTCATTATAGAATTGGTTTCAGGATTGAGTCAAATAACATATATAGCATATATAACAGTGAGTGTGAGTGAGTGTTAGATGATGTATTTAGTGATATTACAGAGAATGCACCGTAGTGTCTGTATTCCAGCCTAGGGGGATGTATTTTCAATTAAAACTTCAGTCAAGAAATCAACTCTTCCTTCCAGAAGGTTTAAACAACTTTCCTATAGCATAGCAAGGCAAAAGAAGTCCATAGTGATAAAAGAGGCAGCACAGATTTCTGGCCAGGGAAGAAGACTTTAAGTCACAGAGCAGAGCCACAAAACCAAGCTGAACAAGTATCTCAAAATATTAAGCAAAGTGGGGCATCTAGCTTTGTGCAGAGGACTCAAGAGAAGGGACTACAAAATGTCCTTACTCTACAGAAAGAAAGGAAACTCTGATCCAGGTCCCCAGTAAAGACAAAATGCTCTAAAAGAGTAAGAAAGTGGTGTATCAGTGCTGGGAAGCATACGTTTCCCTGCAAACCTAGGTAAGTAGCCCCTCCTATAGGAGGTTGTTTTAAAACCTCCTAAACAACTTGTTTTCCTGTTTATATATTCCATGTTTTTTCATAGTAGGTGCACAATAAATGTTTATTCTTTCCTTTGAATACCTTGAGGATTGGGGTGGGGATGGGATGACTCGGGAAGGAGCTGTCATAATGCATCATAATAAAATAGGTACAAACTTACAGAACAAGTTGGGAAGGGATGAGACTTAGCTTTCAGGCCAGATACTGTAAGTAGTGAAGCGCTTGGTAGCAGAAATCCATGAAAATATTTGGGTTTTAAATTGAAAGGAAGTGTGTGCTTTCCAGGAACGGGGCAGCACAGGAAATTAGATGAGTTCCTGAGCAATAGTGAGACAAGGTAACAACTGAAGGTCATATTCAGAAAGAACATGGAAGAGAAGAGGTCCCTAAGTCAGTAAGTCAGTTGGTTACTGCAGGATCAGAAACCTATACTTGTAGCTTGACTATTTAGATACTCTATGTTGTGTCCCTTTCTATGTGCTTCTTGGTTTTAATATTGTTCTTTTTCAAGGATCTTCTAGTTGATCCATACAAGCAATAGGAAATGACTTTGGTTATGGCTCATAATTGAGCAGAAATCCTAAAGGGGGTGCAGCATACCCCTAGAGTCTACATTATCAAAAGACTGAGAAAAAATATATAGGGGCTTTTAGAAAAATCCCTTCTTTCTACCCAAAGATTTTTCCTTCAGCTTTTCTTCACCAAAGACCTTGGAGCACTTCACATTTTGTTTTATTAAGGGAAGCTGTTCAATCACAGAGAGTCTCACACCCATCAGCTATCTTGAGTACTGTATCTCATTACTTAACGATTTCAGCATCAACCTTGTGGAGGGAATTGGGACTGAATTCTGGCCTCAGAATGACATAACAAATAGTGGATTGCTTTAGATACAGAGGAGTCTATTGTCAAAAGAGTTGGCCTGAAAATTGTTTCTTGCATATGCAACCTTTTTAAGACTAT